ATTTGCTACTTATATAAATTATTTTAAACCCGTTTCTCCTTAAATATTATAAAATGCATTTTTTTTATTATTTCAGCCATTAACCGTCTACTGCTGAACGTAGGCATCCCTCATAAGGAAGGTTTTGCCAATAATTGCCACGATTGGTAGGTGGGTTGGCAACCGAAGTTGGGCTTTATTGATGTTTTAAGAGAAACGCTGCTGGTATACCTATTAAATAATTTGTTTAAATATTACTCTTTATTTTGATGCTTTGAGTGAAACTAGATAAGATCATCTTCCGTATTTTTTACCCCAGCAATATAATAATTTTAAAGAAAAGGAGATTCTTTTAGGCTTTAATATTTTTATTGTATAGAAATATGTTACGCGTAAAAAATATTACACATATAAATAAAAACATTACAATTCTACATAGTTACATATAAATTACATACTACCTATATCTGATGTAGATATAGCAAAGAATATTTTGGAATCCATAATCCTTAAGAATTCCTACGGATGAAGGGTACTGCAATGTTCTATTTATGCCTATAAGTGATAATTACCAATTTCTATGGTGAGGTTCTTGTTTGTCATTTCAATTTGTATAAAATGTGGTTATTGAGTTGGCAATTGTTCGATCATTAAGTTAGATCTATACATTATCATCATCATTTCTGCCATTATCCGTCCAGTGCTGGACATAAGCCTCTCCCATAGAGTGCCATAAAGTACGGTCCTGAGCGCACCTGCATCCATTGACTCCCTGCAATGCATTTCAGGTCGTCACTCCATCTAGTGGGTGGTCATCCTACACTGCGTTTGCCCGTAGAAGTATATATATTTTCCTCAAAAAAGAATATAAGTATACCTATATTAATATATATTAATAATCATTAATTACATATCTATATTAATATATGTTAACAGTTTCCTACATACATTTGTAAATTGTCCCACTATCACGGGTGTTCGTAAAACAGTAAAATATTCACTTCTATTATTTAGTTTTGATAGAAAATAGACAATATTGTAAGAAGTACTGTGCTTCTTAAAACATTCGTATATAAATTAGATTAATCGATACTTATTGATTTTCATTTCACATAACACAGCCAAATGTGTTTTAATTCTTAATTATAAAATTTTAAAATTATGCAACATATTTATACGTTTTACAATTTATGTTTACTGTAGGTACATGTGTCCTCGTAGTGTGGACAGTGAGCATAAATTACGGACAATCGTGGACAATGCCAACGGAAGCCGCAACAGTACAGAATAGTTCCGGACTGCGGTCGTCTAACTCGACCCTTCCTTTGAATTAGATAAATGATATTGCCACAATGCAATATGCAATATTAACAATATTTAGTTATGATTGCCGACAAATGGTGGTGGAAGTAGAAGAATTTTCACAGTCTATTCAGATAAATATGAATGAATGAAAACTCTTTATTGTTTTCTTCAAACAATGATACAGATTATAATGATTAACAAATAAATATGCTACAACCTTAGTAGATTATACCTATAGATAGAGTAACTCCATATAAATGCTTCGAAAAAAAACAGGTCAACTTTTTCATACAATTTTACCTTTTATGAGTGTTTCCTTTATAACTTCTATATTTATTTTGTTTTATAATTTTTTGCGTCTTTTGAATGCGTAAAAAGTCATTTTATTTATTAAATAATTAAATTTAGATACGTCAAGATACATTATATGCGTAAGTATATAGAACACTGACAAAAAAACGAGTCAGCTAATTGTCAAATTTGCTCACCCATTTTTGAGACTCGATGTTCTCTATCTCTATCTCGATCTACAACTAAAGGTTCAACATAAAAAAAAAGAAAAAAAAATACTCCAATAAGTTAATTGATATTATTCGTTTTTATTAGCTAAAAATATAATGCAAACAAATTACATGGGCGGCTAGTGTCTAAATACGAGTTTTTTTGTTTGTTGCTTCTCTTTCCCAGTTTCGATATTATGACATACAGAAGCCAAACAAAAATCAGCTGCGGCCAGCTCGAGGCAGCCATTACGGGCGGCAGACGCGGGTCGGCATACTAACGGCGCATATGCACGTGACCGATCTTGAACCCTATTGATCCTCTGCACACACAACCTCTGTACGTCTTCACACGATCTGTATCATTTGAACATGTTGTATTTCTGTTTACACATATTTTTTTAAATATATGTTGTTATTATTATTATTTATTTATTTGTTAACTACATCGGACAGATAAAGGAAACACTAGGTGTCATATCGTATAGGGAGGTCAAAGATATGGCTTGGGATAGAGTTGGCTGGAAGAAAATGCATGAGTTAGTTTCACCGACAAGAGGAAATTCTTAATTGAAAGGAAAGATTTATTTGTTACAAAATCTACGGCTCTTCAAAACTATGATATGTAGGTAGCATTATTTTTAGTACTTATAGCCAATTACGGATTTACAATACTTAATATGTTCCTTCCTAAATTGAAATTCAAATCATCTTTATTTAAATAGATTTTTTTACAAGCACTTTCAAATTGTAATTTTTTCAAAATCTACTACAGGGTCCAGAAACAGTTGAGAAGAAAAAAACTCAACAGTTATTCTTTTAAATCTCTGTTAATAGTAAACAGTTAATTGTTCACAATGTTCAAGTTATTTATATGAATGTAAAATTAAGATTAACAAGGAGCTCATGGTAGATATTTATTACTTACCTACTTAGGTCATGTTAAAAATTACGCCTTCAGAAGATTTGTGGTAGCTTCTCTCGAAATATATGATTTTATTTTTGTTTAGCTTAATTTTTTGTACAATTTAGAATAGCAAACAAGTTAATGCCCCATCGTATTGAAAGTTGCAATCGTGGCTTAAGTATAAGTATATATAAACAACACAACAATACAAAATATATTGTGGCGCCAGAGTAGGTAAATTTAATATTTGAATATATAATAATAAATAATAATAAAAACTTTATTGCATAATCATGATTGATTGAATATGGATGTAATCATACTGCAGCTGCAATAAAACAATGGACAATGGTTTTTTTTGTGTACCTATCCTTAAAGTTTATTCAGTGTCTACCAATTCCTCAAATTCTATTTATCTAGATAACTTCCCTTAGCAAGCAGACAGATTAGAAAGAAGAGAAGACTTTAAATAGATTTTTTTTTCATCTAATTTAACATGTTTTATGGATATATTTGGGTTCTAGAGGCTCTTGTCTTCTCCCTCAGCATCATTTCTATAAGTGTGGCCCTTCAGAGTTCTTACTAAATCAGCTTCCTATATATGAGATAGTTTCATATTAAATAAGGTTGTAGATATTGTTGGCAATAGGCATGAGTTATATGAATATCGATCTGATATCTATATATTGGGTTTTTCTGGACATTGATAGCGAAAAAAAGGTTATCACCCATTTTGATATCGCTCATATCGATCGGATATCTACTTTCGAATATGTTAAAATTAATTAAGTAATACTTAGTACCTACGTAAATAAACAGGTATTAGCAGAAAGATAATGAGTTTATTTTTAACTACAGACAGGTAACTAACTACAAAAGATAAAGCGCTAGATTTAAATTACATTAATATGCAATCAAGTAGATTGGTATGAATGCCTCAACTAGGTATCTACTATTAACTATTTATAAGGATTAGCGAGAGAGTTAACAAACATCAGACCAGACATAATGGCTCCTAGGTTGAACCTTAATTAGATAGAGAGAGAGGTGTATCTGTTTGTAGGGACCTACGGTTTTCTTGAGTTACATGTCATGTCATGTCATATTGAAATGACATGTAACTTATGATACATGACATATAGAAATAGACACATTATACATTAGAACACATGTCATGCCTCTAGTTATGAATACTGTTATATCAAATTTATTAATTTTACTTTTTATGGGATCATCATTTCAGCTGTTATTTGTCCATTGCTGACCATAGGACTCCCCTATAAACCGCCATAAGGGAGCTTCCTTATGGCAATTAGGGGGATTTTGCCAGTAGTTGCCGGGCTTAGCAGGTGGACTGGCAATTGCATTTTGGCTCATGTTGATGTTTTAAGAGGGACGCTGCTGTCCATTCCTCGACGATTAAGTATCCTTAGCCACTTCTTATGGACACCCACAGGAAAGGAAGGGGTGGCCTATTCTATGCCGGGACCACATGCCATAGAATTTTATAATAAAATAATTCTTGATTAGGTAGATTAGGTCCTTAAATTTAATATTTTTATGTGGACAATTAACGGAAGATAAAGATGGATTAATAGATGGGTAACTTAATTTAGGTACTTATTATAATAGATAAGTGTTTAAATACGTTAGGTATCTATTTACGGTTTAAGTTACTAATGATAGACAAGGAAGACAAAGATAACAGTTGAAACAACTGTTAAATTTGTTTCAAATTTACGTTTTTGGTTCATTTCACATGAAACAAGACAGTGCAACAGCAGACAAGTTGTCAATCAATAAAACCCGTTGTTTTCAAGGTGCGTGCGGGCCCCGCCCATCGGTCGTACGTTCATTCATGAACGCATCCGTTTTAATATTCAGCAACAGGCTAAACACGCAATGTTAACCTATTAACGGTCCCCGAAGTAATAATTAAAAACCATTACGCGAATCAGGAATGAAACCGCAACACGCCGCATCTTCTCAACTGGCGCGCATCCAACCTACAGCTTACTTATTATATTCTATGAACGCAAGCTATAAACGTATTCCTGAACATATCACGTAGACGACTACTACCAATTTCAACCAATCAGAACGCGACAATTCAACTTAATAGGCTAGGCCACGCCCAATCACGTAACCGCCTATTACGGGCCGTGTAACGACGCAGGCTTTTAACTTGCGATGACGTCCGATCGATTTTTGTCCCACTCCTGTGTAGTGCTGTGTCCCACTCTAATTTCCCGAGTGGCGACCGTACGGGGTGTCTAGGCTGAGTGTGATAGAGTCGCGTTTGGCGCGCGTGCCTGGTTTCAGTTGCACGTTCGAGGCCATAGGAGGGGGACGCGTGCAACTGTTTTCGATAATCGGCCGCGCGTTCCGTACGTGAAAAGCGGACAGTATCCCGCCAGTCACGTCCGCGTAAAAACGGATATATGCCCAGAATATTTATTAAGTGGGTGGCTGTGCGTGACTTTTCCCCTGTGAATAGCTAGCCTGGCAAATGATCACCACGAAAATAGAACGGGTGTTTGTTTGATGACTGGAAACGTTGGCGATGTCATGAAACGGCGCCCCGGCCCGGTGCGTCGTGACGTGCGAAGTTTCAGTGACAAATCGGACTAAACAAAAATATTCGATGTAAGTTTCCAGAACTGTGAAAAGCATCACACTTATTATAAACAGCTGACTATAAAAAAAAAAACATAAAATAGTGATTGTGTTTATTTTCTAACATAATTTGAAAATGGAACTGTGACTATAAATAATAATCTGGAACGAACAGTTTTGATCGTTCATAACATTCAAAATGTCGTGTTCAAAAGCGCGGGAACTTTTGTGTGAAACTATCACATTAGACTAAATTAAGTAAAAGTGGTTAAGTGACAATGTTGCCGTATCAAGCGGTAGCTATGGACTACGCGGTGGCTTCCGCTGGTTTTCATCATCACCAACGGCCTGGCGGGCTACCTGGAGTGATGGGCCTGCCGGGGCCGGGGCCGGGCCTCAATCCAGGGCTAAACCCGGCTTTCACCCATTCCTGGTTCGTACAGACAAGCCCGGATATCTGTCGGCAGCAACAAGCATCCAACCAATCGCATCTCGAACCTGGGCACGTTTCATTTTTCTTTATATTTTTTATTTTTAGTTATTATTTTTTTTCAAAAGCTTCTAACAACTTCTATTCCTAGTATTTATCTACTCAATTTATTATAATTATTTTCTTCTATGTTTGAATATTTATTGATAACTCGTTAATAAGTTGATAGAAGCTAATAAATTATTTACTTTGATTGCTTTCTATTGTTTTGCATTTTTATTGTTTGTGTGCTTCTTTCAATATCGCTTATTAGATTTTAAAATACCTTACAAATAAATGTTGTTGTTGAAGATTATTATGTACCTATTACAATTTTATATTTCGTACAAGACCAGTATAAGTAAGTAAAATTTTTTACTAATACCCGAGCCATCTTTAATGAAATAAAAACAAGATAATAAAGTTTTGAATGTACTTACGTTTGTAAAACGCTGAATTTCCTGATTCTTATCTCAATGACATTGTTATACTGGTTCCTAGCGTTATTATATTTTATACTCTAGCATAAGTATGTTGAGATAAATTGTGTCATATATTTGACAAAAGGTGTACAGGAAGTAATAATGTTCTATTCTTAATATGATTTCTACAAAGAAATCCTAATAAGCTATGTGGTCGTCCACTTACTTGATACAGGCACCTACTTATCTTACTTACAACTCTATCTCGTTATTTTATTTCCTCTCTCAAATTGTTTTATGGATAAACTGGATTTATTAATTCAATTAGATTTTTGATATTATAGATTAAAGAAATTGCATATTAAAAAAAAAGTTAAATCTTTTCTTTAAAAGGCATTTAAAAATTTAAGTTTAGCTCAAACATAATAAAATAAATAACATAAATTAAGTATTATGTAATTGAAAAAAAAAACAATATATCCATAATATACTTAAATAAAAAAACGTGGGCATAAATAAAAAAAAATACAGGCGTGGACGAGACAAGTTACAAACGAATATTAAGATGATATCACATCGTGACTGTTTAGCTTTACGCCCAACTACGTTCTTGTTCAACGAATATAAAGAAGTGACTCTGTATTTAATTTTCCCTCTTTTAATTTAATTTAATGGAATTTTATCCAAAATATTTACTATTTAAAAGCCTTACTCCAATTCTACTAAACTATTCTGAAAATATTTTCAATTAAAAATAGAATTTTTAAAATGCGACCATAGACCTGTTGTTATATATAATTAAATAAAAATAATACTTTGTAGCCCCAAAGAGGAAACTGTTTTCAAATTTAATAAAATTATTGAAACACTTTTGATAAAAAAATCAATACACAGTAAGTAAAGATATCGCTAAAAATGTTCTTTTAAAAATATATTTCAAATCACCTCCTTTCAAAAGTCGGTTAACAATAGGTAGAATCATGATAAATATTACAATAAGCTTAAATTAATTCCTCAAAATTATCTACATCTTATTTATTATAACTATCTATTCAAACAGTTAACAATAAGCAATGAACTATGGTTAAATATATAATAATAGTTATAAAGCTTTCAACAAAAAAAGTTTAATGCTACCTAACGAACGTTACTAATTTACTTAACTAAAAGCTCATAAATCCAAAAAATGTTCAGAACATATCTAAATCTGACTCAACTCTATAATTTAAACAAGACAATATTTCTGTATGAGATATCATTACATCAAGTTCACCTTCGTAATTTGTCGTTTTCCCAGAAGCGGTCGCATTGTCGTAATGAGATATACGGATTGTACTGTTAAATGCGAACAAGAATACCTACTTGTTATCAAGTATATGTCAAAAGTTAATTGGATTGTGAATATATCATTAGACTAACTAGACCAATTTTTTGTAACGTTGATTTTAACTGAATCAATTTTGTGTATTCTTTAGTTGAAAATGGAGATGTACGCGGATAGCCATCTAACTGTAATTAAGAATTACTAAGTATATTTGAAAAACAAAGGCTTGGTGTAGTATAAATCATTAAAAAAAATATAAATAACACTCATAGATATAAAAATATAAAAGACACAGATATAATATTTAATAGGTTAAAACGAAGCAACTACAAAAGTGATACCAAAAAATTGTTTCGAATACAGCAGTGTACAAAATTGTTTCGAATACAAAATAATATGTAATTTTATAAATATTTATTCTATGAATTTTAAACGAGAAATATATTTTAAAAAAATTGTTACAATATTTACGCGTATGTTATAAAAGATCAAAATTGATTGCGCCCCATCTACCTACGGCACAGGCCGCGTAACATCAAAGTCCGGTTATTTCATTGACTGGTGTATACCGCGTTGCGTTATATTACACCGTAACCATAAACTTGAATCGCCTGCATTACTAGTGAACCTTGAATGGAGATTGTACTCGTAATGTACGAAAATTTCAACAATTTTGCAAGGTGTCTTTATATAGTTTTTTTTTTCAAAGTGGTGAAAATGATGTATTAACCACCTATGTTATTGGTATATACTGGCGGAACACCAGTGAGGGATGATAGGTGAGGATGGAAGGTCAATTACCCTATCGTGATTGCCAATTGTGACGAATTCACTTTTGTTATTGTTTCTAAGAGGACTGGCCTGACGGGATATATTGCTAGCATTGGGGCTGAAAATCCCTATTACTAAGCCGTGTATCGTATACATATATCTGGGTATCTAGATTTGAAATAAATAGACTAAAAATATATACCCCTACCTGTTAATTATTTCGCGTGGGGTCAGATCACAATCTTTCGTACTTCGACGCATTGAGATCTTTTATACTCCCACCTCCTAGTCTTGGTACTTTCCCATAATTAATACTTTGTATATTACTAGCTTTTACTTACTACTTCGTCCGCATTATTAGGATAAGATCTTATATCTTTCTCCATCTCATATAGTACGTGTATATTGAATTTCATAGTGATTGGTTGAGCTGTTAAGGTTCTATAAGGTAATAAACAAACAAACACTTGATTATTGTCTTATAATATTTGTGTTCATACATATGTATTTTTTATGAACTTAGAATGACAAACATACTGACGGTCCGCCTGATGGAAAGCGCTAACTGTCGCTTATATCTAAACATAAACAGGACCATGGACATTACAGAATATAATATTATACCCATGGTATCCTTCATACGTTGCCATTTCTGAGAACTGTTCTTATACCTCCATACACTATAATTTCACTACCATATCCCACCGACTGCCATTAAAACCGTAACACATTCAAGTAGAACTACTTCATGGCAGAAATACAATTGGGACAGAGGTACCCATGCGTACGACTTTAGTCACCCTCTAGTCTTTAGACTATAGGTTTTCCCGAGAGACTACAGCATGGAGTTTTTCAAAAGGGGGGTAAAGAGGTTTCTTCAGGGTCGGCAACGCGCGCTTAATGCCTCTGGTATTGCAGGCGTTCATAGGCTACGGTAACCGCTTACTATCAGGTGGGCCGTATGCTTGTTTGCCACCTCAGTGGTATAAAAAAACAAAAACCTTATACCAAATAACGAGCTAATGCAACAAAATGCTATTATGAAAATTAAATATGTATTCACTATTCAGTATTATAAATAAATTTATATACCTACCTATTTAAATATTATATTAACCTGTGTTGCTCTACCTAGTTCATTAACTAAAGTAGCTGCATCTGTTAATATTTTCTTTTCCTTATGCCATGCTCGATACAAAAAATCTCTTGACTCAATCGCAAGAAACAAGAATCCTTTCACACTTAATCAAAATTTCTAAGCGACCAAAAAGTCGATCGAAAATTCAAAACAAAAAAGCCCACATCCGTGTTCTAAAATATTTTGATCGAAAAATAAAGAGCGTTACTAAATAACATAATACGTATAGTATCTCTACAATACCGTCCAAGGGATTTCTGTATTGTTTAATTTTTGGATCGTAACAGATATTATATTATACAATAGCCAACTTTGTATACCAGGTGTATAAAAACATTTGGATTAGATAGCATTTGGATTAGTTTCTATAATTTGTAAATAAATAAAATCTTGATTTTGAATTCCTGCTTATAAATATCATAAGTGTGAAAATGACGGTTCAATCAAAAGTAAAAAAAAATATATAAATATTCAATACTATAGAATATTTAAAAATAGGCTTTTATGCGTACTAATTAAATAGTGGACTGAAGATACTAATCACAGTGGCAAGCAAGCACATTGATTTACGTACAAACACTTTAGAAAACGAATCTCCTAAATTTGTTATTATGGATAGCTGGAAGAACTATCCTGAGAGCTAGACAATTGGTATGATTCTATGGAACTACTATTATCAAATACTTATCAAACATATTAATTCCTTATCTCAATATATATATATATATATATATATATATATAGCACATGCTGAGTGATGGCCACGTCGACAATAACAAGTGTAAAGTTTTTTTTTTCCTATTGATAATTTATGTAACTTTTTCTGTTGTTGGCAATAAATGTTTTCTTTCTTTCTTTCTAAGTATTTACATCAATTTAAGATATAACCTTTCCTACAATAAATATGTGAATATAATTGACCATATTCGTGTTAATAACACGAGTACCTAGATTTAAGTTCGTGCATTTTTAAGTAGTGTCACTAAGTGCCCACAATTTACAAAATCTAATCCACGATAAATATCTCCACAAGATAATCGAATAATAAAACTACCGACACCATTAAACAGTAACAAAATCCCTGATATTTACGTGAATAAAAGTAGAATTCAATCGTTGCACCTGAGCGAGCAAAAAACGGTTCCCTAACCACAGTCGTCTCGAAAAAAACACCACTGTGGCATCGACTTTAGTAAGATGCAACCGCAATTAGAGCTGTAATGGGAATAACATGTTATTTTTTTAACGTTATTCAATAACAAGTTTTTGACTTATTGCTAATTCTTAGAGTGGTTAATGTGATGTGAAAGTTAGGTAAGAGTGTAGGTACTTGAAATTAATAAGTTATCATATAAATTTTGCGTTAGTTATATTAATT